TCGCAGAGAAGCTCAACGCATATCTTCACACACAAGGAGTGACTGATCGAGACTATGCTTTTGCGTACTTGGTGACCGCACCGCGCTTTCTTGGATACAGTTTTAATCCGGTCTCATTCTGGTACCTGTACGATTCGGATACGAGGCTGAAGTACATGATATTAGAGGTGAACAACACTTTCGACGAGCGTCGATTGTACCTCTTGAAAGGCGGTGATCCAGCCGACGTGGGAACCGATGATGAGCCACGAGGCGGTTCAAAGGCTACCAAGCAGCTAGTATTCACGGATACCTGGGCGAAGGACTTTCATGTGTCGCCCTTCAACAGTCGCAAAGGCTCTTACAGTCTTCGTGCAACGGACCCTCTGGCAGAATACGAACAGTCTGGGCGGGTTCGCATTGACAACACGATAGTACTTCGCTCATCGAAGGAACATCCGAAAATTGTAGCGCGCGTATTCTCAGAGGGTATAGCAAAAGACCCTGCGAATGTCTCTAACTTCGAAGCTGCTTCGTTCATCGCGCGGTGGTGCTGGGTCGGCTTTGCAACATTCCCACGCATAGTCTGGCAAGCGGCCAAGCTCTCACTGCAAAGGAAGCTGCATGTATGGTATCGGCCCGAGGTGACAGACGCCAGCATCAGCAGACCGTATACGAGTGATGAGAGGAGACTTGAGCCGTTCATCCGCAGCTTCCTGGCGCATATGGTCCAAGAAGCATCAGACCCAATACGCCTGGTGTACGAGCCGGCTCATAGTGAAGGATCGGAGAATGTCTTCTATTCGCCAAGCTTCACATATGAGGAAGACCAGAAGCGTACAGTGACACTAAAAGTGTTGTCTCCAGCCTTCTATAGTCGCTTTATACACTACTCCGAATGGTATAAAGCTATAGACACCGAGTGCTTCACGAGGGACGAGAGAAATCGGACTGCTACCCTCGAAGGCACAACACCGCTTCCAGGCTCGAGCCCAAACTCAACCCTGAATAACAAGGCGGGTCTTGGCGAGAAGCAGCACGTGAAGACTAGAAGGTCCGGTTTGGTTGATCAGGTCCGATGGGCGTGCATGCGTCGTCTGCGGTGTCCGCCGGCCACTTACGCCTATCCGGACAATGCTGTATATGCACTGTCGATGTCATATCCTGCGCCATCAGCGCTGGATCTCTTTGTCCAGGACCACTGCGACGACCAAGATACCTACCGTCGGACCGCCATCAAGCTCTTTTTGGCACAGCGTTTATGCTTCGGCGTTCCGGCACTGCTGAATGTACTAGACTATCTCCTTCGAGCAATGTTATTGCTGGTTGGTTTGATCTACAGCGAGCGTACGCATCGCCCTGTGGATTTGTTCCGGCCACGAGAGCTCGACCTTGGCGATGCTGGCACATTACTGTGTATGATGCTGTTGGCGAACAGTGTCCACATGTGGAGTCTGCTCACGGCTTGAGAGAGATCGCGCGGAATATGGCGCAGCAGGAACTAAAAATCGTCGATGTACATACATGACATGAAAATTATGATCTTGCCTTGAGATGATACTGGTGCCTAACAAAGCGTCAGAAAGTGTACAGATGCGGTGTGCGTGTTTCCATTTGCTCACAAAATGACTTAAATCTCAGCCCCTCCACTACACTACACTATCTCGCACATTCGCCGAAGTGATACAATTCAGCTGCTACCATATTATCTTCACAATCTCAAGCCTAAATAGCCACAGGATTAGGCAACTGCTAAGCACACCTCTTGAACCTCACACTCACAGCTGATCCGCCATAAGTCCTCCAATGCAGATTTGGTGGCTGCACCCTCTTCGTACTACTCCTGTCATCCTTCCCGCTCACGCAAAATGCCTCCTTCTCCAAGTCGAACAAGCCGTCGCCAACCGCATGGTCTGGCGTCGTGACGCTAGAGCTCTCACTTGTCATCGAGGATAGACTCATGTTGCTCCGCGCTCTCCTGATACCCTCCAGCATCTCCACGCCAGGCATACTCGATCCACCGCTGAAGCTGCTTGCGTTACTGGACGTCCGACTGAGCGAGTCGTGGTCTGGAATGTCGAGACTCCGCTGGAGGCTCTTGGTGCAGCGCGAACAGAAGCCCGTCAGCGTCTCGACACCCAGATCAGTCGTGTCCCAACATCCTTTGCTTGAGCTTGCGGATGTTGCACGAATGCAGAGTTCGAATGTTGGTCTGTAGTGTTGGCAGCCGGAAAAGTAGTTCGTGGTCTTGTTGCACATGGCGGTCTCGAGTCCTCGTAAGTAACTGTAGCGATGTTGGTTCGTTCGTAGATGATCCGGTCTGATCAAGTAAGTGAGTGCAGGCGCAGCTCTGCCAGCAGAGTCAAGTTGCACGAGCGAAGATGCGGTAGAATAAGGAGAAATCGAAAGCCGACGCTTACCTTCTTCACGCGGTGTGATGGTCCAGCACAACACTTTGGAGTGAATACAGTAGCACGCGGAGTGTCCGCAAGAGCAGTAGTGAAGTCGCAGGATATACTACACCCGGCCAACAACGGCATTGTTTGTCGAGTCTTTGTTGTGAGCGAGCACTTCTATTGTATTAGCTAGCAGCGGATTTGTACAAAGAGGACAAAGGCCAAGGGTAGCCACGAGTGTGAATGTCCTCGCTGGTCACGTGTGCAAGGTCGCAATGCAGTGAATGGGCCTCGCTTGAAGACGGCGAACGAGCTCATTTGACTTGGGTCCTTAGCCACTCGATCCAGACACCTACATCGCCGCAGGCTTCCAGCGCGTCGGCGAGCTTCTTGCCTGCGACACCCTCTCCGTCGCCAACAGCAAAGTGTTGTGCACCGAGTACGCTCAGGACGCCGTTCTGCAACACCTGAACAGCCACATTGCACACCGGCTTGCCAGTTGCCGCAGCGAAGACGAGTGACAGTGTCGGCACCGGCGTCGTGGCGAGCGAGACACTTACCGCGAGCTTCTCATCCTTCGGAGGAGTTGCTGGAGGCGTAAGCAAGTCGTCGAGTGAGAAGGGCAACGGAGGGTTACGCTTGGCGGCCACGTTACCAAGTGTGCTCAGCGTGTCTGCGGCGGCATTATTACTGCCAGCAAAAAGGCTTCGGACTAATGAGCCGAAACAGGCCCATTGTCGTAAGGTCGGGAGTAATTCCATCAGTTGTCGTGGGTGTGCGAAGGGCAATTGTTCGAGCTTGTAGCCACCGTCGGGCTTTGCCACGTCCAGAGTATAAGAGTGTGAAATCTCGCTTTCTCCGCCGTCGCGCATCACAAGCACATCTCGTGCGGAAGTGATCGGGCGTCCATCCATGGCGTTGAACGGCGCGGTGGTGGTTGGGTCCAGAAGCATAGCATGCCATGATGGCGGGTAGACGAGAAGCTGCGGCATCGATACGCCGATAGTCTGGAGTACATTTGTAGCGAGCTGCCAAGGTGAGATGATTGGCGGGTCAAGATTCGCGGTGAAGCGTAAATCTGGTAGATTCTTTTGCTCGCCATCGACCGGCATAGCATCTGCTCCAGTGCTGGGAGTTACCAAAGTGGGTGGCGGCTCCTGCCACGGTATGCTCGGCTCCGCGTTTGTGGTTGACAGGTCGATGGAGTCTAGTAGCCACTGCTCGGAGACGCGAGCGGACGGGTAAAGGCTGGCAGAGGAACGCTCTATGCCAAGATTAAGTTTGAACAACTCACGAGAGTCGTGTTTGTACTCCTTCGATGGAGGCTCATCGCCTTCCCAGTAAGCAATGCTGAAGCCGATCTGACCGCCTGCGTGAGCCAGAGGCTTGCCGCTTTTCTTGCGCAACACGTCAAGCTCGTTTGAGGCGGCAGACTCGTGGATGTATAGTCCTCGCAAGCTGGTGTAGATGCCACTTAATGCCTCGAAACAGTCAAAGCTATCAGAGCTCAGTCGATCAATGCGAGCAAGGCGTTCCAAGCTCTCAGCAAAACGCCCAAGACTCGCATCCAGAGTTTCTCCACCGGCTCCACATAGATCGTCCAGCAGCACCTTTCCTATTGCTTGCGTCTGCTCCTGTAGTCCGGCACTTTCGGTAGCGAACGTGACGGACACGCTATCAGCTTTTTGCTCCTTCAACGCCACATCTATCAGAATCTTCTTCCCAGCAATGTCTGATGTGCGGTTGCCAACCAATGAGGCATTCTTGACGCGCTCTTCTGCCGTCTCATGGTCAAGCCCAACATCAAAGCCTACCCTCCTGCTGATTCTGTTGATGGCTTCCTCGCTCACTCGGCCTTTGGGCTTGCCAATACTCTTCAACACCTTGCGCATCTTCGTGCGCCGCTCCTCGTCCTCGTTGCGTTTAGGTGCGCCTGCGGCGGCATTGACCCCTAGATCGGACATGGTGAGTCCCATTGGTAGTCCTGCCATACCAGGCGTCGCCATGTTGAATGCACCTGGTGTGATACCTTCTACGCCTAGACCCAATGGAGTGCCAAAGCTGGGCATGTTTGCGCCGGGAGAAGATCCGCTGGTGTTGCCTTGCTGGCTCAAATTGTGAATCATTGGTGTTCCTCCGAGAGTCTTGCTACCGTGCGAGGAAGTAGTCGGGTGGTTGATTGGCGTCTTGCCGGATTGTTCCTTGCGCGTTGTTGCTGGTGATGGTACACTGCGCGGTGCTGGCGAGAAGCCAAGATGGGAGGGTGTCGAGACATGGCCTGGTGCTCGCTTGGAGGCTGATGATGGGTTTGGCGGTAGCGTGGGAGTTGGTGTCGCCATGATAGGCTGTATCCAAGAAGGTTGTTCTCTTCAAGTTGCTGTTAGAAGGAGTGAGGCTTCGCGTCAACACAAGTGAATTACGTAAGCTCGCGATTTGGCCTCCTTTTGCTCAACAACAACACCTCTTACTTTCTCCTCCTTACACCACCTATGTGCACATACAGTATATTACACTCGGCTGATCCGCGGCTAACCTTTTGGCACAGTCTCGGTATCGAAACCTATTGCTATGCCACAAACTGTTGCTTCGGTGGTCTGAAGATTTATTTCTCGTCCAGCCATCAAAGGGGATGTGGTCCAACGGAAAGATACTACTGTTCTTGCGTCTATCGCCGGGACGGTAGTGATGCCTGTTCGATTCCGGCCTTCTCCAAATATTCAACCTTTTGGCGACCAGCTCGCTCTGATCATCGATTTACGTGGTGGGTTCGACTCGAAATTGACTCCAGACCTTCGTGGCCACCACTTGACAATTTGTGCTGAAGACTGAGTCGATCGAATCTGCCAGATCTCAATAGTTGAACAGAGCTAAGCCTACAAGATGAGAAGATTGCCAAAATGCTACACAACGAGACAAAGGCAGCTAAGCCACAATCTCCGTCCGCAAGTTCTCCGGCCACTTAGGCAGATCGACACCATTCGACCTCGTCCCGACGGTGTACCCAAGCTCTACTTTATCAGCGAACCTCGCAACGGGCTTGACTTGCACAAACTCCTGCCCTACAGCCTTCGATTTCCTGCGCTCGAAGAAATCTGGCTTGTACAGAGTGTCGCTGACATTCTTCTCGAGCAGATCGAACAGGACCTAAAAGTGATGGGTGTAAGGGTTAGCTCTTTGTCTGACCCACGTGACTGCTAGAGACAGTCCCGGTATTGCAACATCTGATGAGACACAGCAAGCCAGGGATAGCTGTTATGTAGCATCAGGCCACGTTGGGACTGTCTCAAGTGCCTATGTTTCACAGCCATCCGTTTGCTTACTGGGAGAGCGTAATTCATGTTGTGATAATGACGGAGCACAGGCTTTCCGTGACGTGCCCGGAGATCAGACCAGATCTGTTCTGGGTACTCGCCCACGGATTTGACGAGCCATTGGGAGTAGTAGTTGAGAGCCACCTGGGATGGATCAGCGCACATCGTCAGACATTAGCGGAGTTGACTGCTCACATCGATCCCATAGGAGCCACCTTCCTCTGCTCTTCGGATCAACGCGTGCAAGACCGCAGCACAACCAATTACGCCGGTGCTGCGTAAAGTTAGCCTCTGGATGACAGCTCTAGTAGTTTACGATAATGCTTACCAATAGTCAGAGTTAGGGAAGACCGGCGTCACGGCCTCATCGTTACCCATAGCTTGGCCGAATCGCATGGAGACGCCAGTGCACTACGAGTCCGTCAGCGCAGCACTTAACGCCCGTCCAAGGGACTACTCACAGCATCGCTGATCTGCTGCCACCCACTACGGTGCTTCCAAGGTCCGTTCCAGCCATAACAGTTCTCCCGCACATGAATGATGCCCCGACCACGATCCTTGACAAGATCAAAGATCGCCTCACGACTGAAACCATTACGTTCCATTGCACCAGGACGGTATCCCTCAACCACGACATCAGCCTCTCGGATCAAGCCTCGCAAGGTTTCCTGGCCCTGCTCGGACTTGAGGTCCAGGTGAGCGTTCCACTTGCCCCAGTTCAGATCCTGATGCAAGCCTGACATGTCTGTGATCGTGGGCGTCGTGATTCTCATCACGCTTGCACCCATCTCCGCAAGTCCGCGAGTGACGCTCGGCGCAGCAATAACCCTCGTGAGGTCCACGACTTTCAACCCGGCCAATGGTCTGCTCGCAGACGATGGCATGGAGTCATGATCTGGCCACCACGAAGCCGGCTGCGCCTGTCCCTCGATTTTCGACAAGCTGTACAAGCCTACATGAGCGTTGGCCTTACCGTGCTCGGACTTTGCAAACTCCTCGGGCGTCCATGCGATTGTTCCGGCTTGCTTGTACTTCTCGTTCATGAGCTCGTCAAGGTCGCGAGAATCGACCTGCTCAACGATCTTCTGCATGTGATTCACGACAGAATCGTACGTGTCGTCCTTCTGGCCGTCCGCGGGCAGACCCAGCGCAGTTAGCGTCGGGTCCGGGTTCATGCTTCCATGGCAGTGGTAGTAACGGCCGTCTTTGGTCTTGTAGATGTTGGTTGCAAGATTTCGATGCAGGCCTTGGGTCGTTAGCAACATACTCGTCAAAATTCTAGCAATCATCACTGACCAATACAGTTATGGAGATCCTTCGAAGGAAAACCGTAGTCCTTCATCGTGGCTCCGTCAAACACGTTAACCTTCACTTCTTGGCCATCCTTGGTAACGACTTTCGTCAAGAACGGCGACATCACGTACAGACTCGCGTGGTCCGTGTTGATCTCGACTTTGGACATCGGGACCTGGTATTTCCTGGACCGCAGAACATTGAGCATTGAAGCCTCGAACCCCTTTAGTGCAGATATGCTCTCGGCGAAACGCCAATTGATTGGGATGCTGGGAAGATCCGATCCTGAGTAGTGGACCAGACGTCCGGCATCCTTGATCTCTGATGGCAACGTCGGGACCAAAGGATTATTCAAGATCTCTCTGTCGAGCAGTTGTTCTGCTTCATGTTGGACAGAGTACTTCGTTTCGCCGACGGATCCCATGTTGAAAATGTCGTTTCTCTGTCGCGATTTGGGGCGGAAGTACTGATTGTATTCGTTCAAGTCGTTATGGTTGCGTGGTACTCTCGATGAACTTGATTCTGCACTGCTGCATCGAGTGTTTTGTTATTGCCGGCTCGTTGCTCCTCTCAGCCAAACCTCACCCCGCCTTGACTGCATCCTCGGATCAAGGCAATGCTGGACCATCAAAGACCTCGAATACGGTGCCTAGGCCGTTGGACCGCACGTAATAAACATTGGACTGGTTAAAGCGTGTTGGAAGCATTTGCGGCGCGAAGATATCCAGTAAAACATTGTTACATGCAAGTCGCTGAATCAAAGCATACATCCAAGCTGCAACCCATCAAGTTCGCGCATCGGAAACTATCGCCGTCAACATGGGTTCAGTACAAAGAGCCGTTAGGATTGCAAACTGTTCGGGAGCAGTACCAGATCCTGGTGATTTGATGTGAGTGATCTCGAGGGCGTAATCAGTGAGCCTGTCTAAGACATATGCTAACCCTGCCACGTTAGGTATAATCAAGCCAAGCACGGACCCGTCGACGTAATCACTGGAGACTACCTAGCAGGCGAGTGCTAGATCCGTTGAACGTAGTACATCGTTGACACCCTCATAGAAGTAAATCTTGGCAACGATGCCGAAGCATATCTTGCTGGCAAGCACGAAGGGTGGCTACCCACCGCATGGGACGGCTTGTGCAAGGCCATCGATCTGATCGCCGAGAAGCGTATCAAAGTGATCATCAATGGGGGTGCCTTGAATCCGAAAGGCCTCGCCGAGAAGACGAAGCGAGAGCTCGTGGACGCCAAAGGGCTTGACCTGAAGGTGGCATACGTGCACGGCGATGACCTGATGTACAAAGTACATGATCTCTTGTCCAAGGACGAGAAGGGTGGGCTACCACATCTCGATAAAGATAACACCAATGTGAAGCTCGAAAAGGATACTGACGTGTTCCTGGATCGGCCGGAAACGATGCCAATCGTCAGTGCCAATGCGTATCTCGGCATGCGGGCCATCAAGAAAGGGCTCGACGAAGGTGCCGACATCATCATCTGCGGTCGAGTAGCAGATGCGAGTCCCGTGATCGGTGCAGCAGCCTGGTGGCATGGTTGGAAGGAGACTGATTACGACCAGCTGGCTGGTGCGCTCATTGCAGGCCATCTGATTGAGTGTTCCACCTACATTACCGGAGCGAACTACTCTGGCTTCTTCAAGCACGATATCGCCGAGCTTCTTGATCTGGGACTGCCCATAGCAGAAGTGGAGGCGAATGGCGAATGTGTAGTGACGAAGCACGAGTCGTTGAACGGATTCGTCAATGCGGATACTGTCAAGTGTCAGCTGTTATACGAGCTACAAGGCACGATTTACCTTAATTCTGACGTCAAAGCCGACATTGCGCACGTCCGTGTCGAAGACGAGTCCAAGGATCGGGTCCGTGTGTCGGGAGTCAAGGGCGCGCCTCCACCATCTACGACTAAGCTGGCGGTCTTCTACAAGGGCGGCTGGCAGTGTGAGCTACTGATCAATGCTTCTGGGTATGCCACAAAGAAGAAGTACGAGTTGCAAGAGGCTCAATTGCGGCGGATGTTGAAGCTGTGGGGCGTGATCGACAAATTCGATATCTTGGACTTCCAGTATATTGGCAGACCAGAAGCCAATCCTAGCTGCCAGTTAGCGAGCACAACGTATTTGCGCATCTTTGCACAAGCGACCGAGGAGGATGTCATTGCCAAAGTCCTTCCGGCGTGGGCCTACAACACCATGTGAGTTGTCTCTTGCTGTGGATGGATTTATAGAGCTGACGCCGACTCAGGCAGCACTACGCAGGCATGCATCTTACCCGTGATCTCAGGACAGCCACACCCAGGCCGTTTCTTGGCTTCTACCCAGCTGTGATCTCACAGTCAGAGATGGAAGAGAGCGTCAACATCCTTCCTAACAAGTCATCCGCAGACGTATCCAAGTATGTCGTTGGGCCACCGAAGAAGACGGAAGGTCTTAGCGCACGAGAGGATTACGAGCCTACGAACGCTGTCGACCTTGCGAGCTTCGGCGAGACGGTAATGGCACCACTAGGCGACATTGCACTCGGCCGCTCGGGTGACAAAGGCGCGAATGTAAACTGTGGGCTCTTCGTACCAGAGCAAGAGGACGTATCGGGCGAGAAATGGAATTGGCTGAGGTCATTTCTCACGAAGGATCAGATGAAGAGGATGATCGGAAGTGACTGGCAGTCATGGTACTTCATTGAGCGGTGCGAGATGCCGGAATTGCGGGCGGTCCATTTCGTGGTGTATGGCCCGCTTGGAAGGGGTGAGTGTGGTTGTTCCCGAGCAGCTGGGGTGTCTCTTCGATTTGGTGTGCTGACCAGATGCCTCATTCTAGGTGTGAGCAGCTCGAAGATACTGGACAGCCTGGGCAAGGGCTTTGCGGAGTTCATTCGCGACGTGCATGTTCCCATACCCAAGAAGTTTCTGAGCTAGAGTTGGCACGCTATATCGTACTTAAAGCAACCGATCGCGATAGTGAGTCGTTCACGAGAGGGTGTGCTGGACTTGGGTTGATGGTGTGCTCGTCGTCCAGCAACTGCGAGAGCGTGAGTCTGGACTTGGTTCGGCGTCGCACAGCATGTTGTTCTTCTCGTGAGATGATGTGCGCC